GTCTTTGTATCCGCATCGTCCTACGGGGTTGTACCGCATTTGCTTCTTTTTTTTGTCTTTCGTTTTCATAAGTGATTCGTTTTTCTTGATTACAAGATTATCGCTCTCAGTTTAGCGTTTTCTTTGTCGATCGCTTCTTCTAGTCTCAGCGACGGTGGTCTGATCGGGGTAGTGGGTCGATTGATGGGAAATAATTAAAAGTTAATACTCCCTATTGCAAAAATGCTATTTGTTAACCCACTACCCACTTTGACCACTGTACGGGCGGTTCTGTCGTGTGGCAGTGCCATAAGTCGGAATATTTAGAGCACTCTTCTGATCCGAAACTGATGGTGTTGTAAGGTATTGTTAAGATGCACGTGACTATTAACAATCTTTCCAGATGAAACGGTCTTCTAGTTGGTACTCGTAGTACTGCTATGCTCATGAGAATAAGAAGTTGCGATCCAAGGTCTTTTGTTACTGATTATCTCTTAAATAAATATCAAAAAAACGGAGAACGCTCGTATGATTCCGTGTCTAAGTCTGTTCTAGTACCACAAAAATCAAAGTATAATCATACTAGCCTCCAAGATCGAACATAAATCTTTAAGCCTATAAATTACTTAGTACGGCTGTTGTAATATTAACAGTATAACCTTATTTGAATTTTATAATACCGATGGTAAAAAGGAGCATTGCAACTAGCCGAAATTAAAGTACTACTTCAAAGGTCCAAAGGGAACATTTTAGTTGTTTTAGGATGAGTGAGAGAATAAAAAAGCTATCCCCGGGATATTGTTGACGTCATACGCAACAATGATAGTTCCGTTGAAAACACGAAAATTTTGATGCTATGCTTCCAGCTGGAAATAAAACGGGACACATTATATATGTTGTTTCACAAGATGCATCGGGAGTTTCGAATTTTGCACCAGAGTCACCTCGGACTATCAGACAACCAATCGTTCAGCTGAACAACTCTTTAAGTCCACACTGCACGCCACCTACGGTGTTGAAATCCAACAACACTCGGATGAGCGCTTAGCAAGTCATAATAACTTTCGGAAAGCTCTGAAAAAAATCCATCACAACGAGTTAAAACTACCTCAAACATTCAAAGTTATTGGAACGTATACCGCCTCAACTATCTGGCAGTGATACTGAACTACCGCGGATAGCCAGCATACGGATTAATCAACTTCGCTCGGGCTACAGTCCGCTCACATCCTGAGCCATTAAAAAGTGAGGTACACATTTCCTATCCAGACTGTAATGAGACGCCGCACGACTTCCATCAATTATCTAACTGCAACCAAAATCCGACTGGTCTGACTACGGCAGACCTCTGATTTCATCCCTCTGAAGTTACTGAGCTCCTTAGACTTAATATCTCGAGGAGGCGCGAGAGCTGAACTTCCTTTAAGAATCAAATCTCAGTTAAATGACGACGAAGTTGCTGACCCTAAACACCACACATCGACAACGGCAAAGAGCTGATTTCGAAATATAAATACTGAAACGGGTCCTGTGCTTTAACGGTATTCATGTAACCTCGCATGTTGCACCTTAATTACTTTGCCGGCGGACAGGGGCACTAGGTAGGAACCAGCGGAAACCTAATCAACCTTCATCTCCAACAGAGATGAAGTACTGGAAAGCAATAGCAACCAGGAACGAAACCAAAACGAAGTTAACCCCCCAAAATTCCGCTGACAATGGCGTTGGCCGTAGCTAGTACACAACATCAAATTGGGTATGTTTCAACTTCTCGACCTATGTTTTGACTTTCTCGACCAAAATCGGGTCTGTTTACTAAATTTACCCATTTTGTTTGGTGTTCCAAACACTACTACCCCTTTTGTTTAACAGGCGTAACGAACAATTCATTTGTATTGAGAAATTGTTTTTGATTAAAAGAATGGGTAAAAAACAGATACTGAATACATTTTTTTATTTAATCAATTTGCTCTTTGAAATAAGGGCTTGAGTCCCTACAGATCTAAAATTAGTCTCTAAATTTGAGTTAATGCTGGTAGTTTTGATAATCTTTTTTTTGTTCTTTTCAAAATTGATTTGAGTTTTAAGCGATTCGATTTATCGTTTTTGTTGTGATGAAGTCATGTGTCAGTGATATCATAATGATAGCTACAGCATTAGTTATTTTTAGAAATTGTTATACTTAATCATTGGTGAAAATTACAGATCAGGATAAAAACACCTATATGGTAATCTTTTGTTGTGGATAAGGAAAACCAAGCGTCGGAAGCCAGCCGATTGAAGCACACCGTAAACTGCAATTCAAGTGAAAAGTTTTTTTTGTTGTATAGCATTTTTTGTTCTGACGTTTTTTTTTGATTTCCTGGTGGTCCGCGTTGTCCTTGTTGGTTTTAGTTTATGTTTTGGAAGTCTGAGCATTTCCTTGTCCCCTCCCTCTTCCCTCTGCTTGTTCAGCATAACTGCCTTGAGCGACATGTTCCATACCATTTCATCCTATCGATCCCCACAGTCTGCTTTAGGCTGCTAATTGCACCATGTTGCACGGAATTGCTCTACGGACTCACTCATCTTCCGAATGCGGAGTATAAAAATGTACCGCTTACACGCGATTATCTTTTCTGTTGAATATACATTTTTCAGTTCTAACCATAGATCTTTGTGGACACTGTTTGGATGTTTATATTCGGTTTTCTTTGCCGGAACTGTCTCTGGGTTTCTTGTCCGAGACATAAGTACGTGTATGTTTTGCCTTTGTATCCGCATCTTCCTACGGGGCTGTACCGCATATAACTCCTTTTACTTCTTTTTTTTGTCTTTCGTTTTCATAAGTGATTCGTTTTTCTTGATTACGAGATTATCGCTCTCAGTTTAGCTTTTCTTTGTCGATCGCTTCTTCTAGTCTCAGCGACGGTGGTCTGATCGGGGTAGTGGGTCGATTGATGGGAAATAATTAAAAGTTAATACTCCCTACTGCAAAAATGCTATTTGTTAACCCACTACCCACTTTGACCACTGTACGGGCGGTTCTGTCGTGTGGCAGTGCCATAAGTCGGAATATTTAGAGCACTCTTCTGATTCGAAACTGATGGTGTTGTAAGGTATTGTTAAGATGCACGTGACTATTAACAATCTTTCCAGATGAAACGGTCTTCTAGTTGGTACTCGTAGTACTGCTATGCTCATGAGAATAAGAAATTGCAATCCAAGGTCTTTTGTTATGGATTATCTCTTAAATAATTATCAAAAAAACCGAGAACGCTAGTTTGATGACGTGTCTAAGTCTGTTGTATTACCACAAAAATCAATATATAATTATACTAGCCTCAAAGACCGAGCATAAATCATTAAGCCTATAAATGACTTAGTACGGCTGTTGTAAGATAAACAGTATAACCTTATTTGAATTTTATAATACCGATGGTAAAAAGGAGCATTGCTACTAGCCGAAATTAAAGTACGACATCAAAGGTCCAAAGGGAACATTTAGTTGTTTTAGGATGAATGAGCGAATAAAAAAGCTATCCCCGGGATATTGTTGACGTCAAACGCATCAATGATAGTTCCGTTGAAAACAAGAAAATCCTGATGCTATGCTTCCAGCTGGAAATAAAACGGGACACATTATATATGTTGTTTCACAAGATGCATCGGGAGTTTCGAATTTTGCACCAGAGTCACCTCGGACTATCAGACAACCAATCGTTCAGCTGAACAACTCTTTAAGTCCACACTGCACGCCACCTACGGTGTTGAAATCCAACAACACTCGGATGAGCGCTTAGCAAGTCATAATAACTTTCGGAAAGCTCTGAAAAAAATCCATCACAACGAGTTAAAACTACCTCAAACATTCAAAGTTATTGGAACGTATACCGCCTCAACTATCTGGCAGTGATACTGAACTACCGCGGATAGCCAGCATACGGATTAATCAACTTCGCTCGGGCTACAGTCCGCTCACATCCTGAGCCATTAAAAAGTGAGGTACACATTTCCTATCCAGACTGTAATGAAACGCCGCACGACGTCTATCATATATTTAACTTCAACCAAAATTCGACTGGTCTGACTACTGCAGACCTTTGATTTCATCCGTCCGAATTTACTGAGCTCCTTAGACTTAATATCTCGAGGGAGCGCGAGAGCTGAAATTCCTTTAAGAATCAAATCTCAGTTAAATGACGACGAAGTTGCTGACTCTAAACAGCACACATCGACAACGGCGAAGAGCTGATTTCGAAATATAGATCAGCAATACTGAAACGAGTCCTGTGCTTAAACAGTATTCATATAACCTCGCATGTTGCACCCCAACTACTTTGCCGGCGGACAGGGGCACTGGGTAGGAACTAGCGGAAACCTAATCAACCTTCATCTCCTACAGAGATGAAGTACTGGAAATCAATAGCAACCAGGATCGAAACCAAAACGAAGCTAACTCCCCAAAATCCCGCAGACAATGGCGTTGGCCGTAGCTAGTACACAACATCAAATTGGGTATGTTTCGTTTTCTCGACCTATGTTTCATGTTTCGACTTTCTCGACCAAAATCGGTTCTGTTTAGACTTTATGCTCGTCTCAAAATTGCTTCTCGATCGCGGGATTTCGTTTGTTCGACTTTCAAACTGCACTTGCTTGACTTTCAAAGTCGAAACATAAGTCGAGCACCTCGACCCAGGTCAAATTCAACCTTTAGCTTCTAAATGGACAAAGCTGTAAGGCACAAACCAGAGGACGGAAGAATCCTAATATATTATTTTCTCGACAAGGTCCAAAACATCACCTTGTGTGTATCGTATCACATATAAGAAAAAAAATACCAAGTATGATCGAGAATCGAGATATTTTTATGAAAAATTGCCTTATCATGTTTAAAGCAACAACAACGATATTCATTAAAGCTGTACCACATATTTACCAGAGTTAGCTAATGTAACAAAAATTGTGTTTTTTCTTTGATTATGATGACATGTTGGTTAAAACTTTCACGTGCAAAAAAATTTCTCAAAGGCTTAACTTAGTATAGAAAGAATAAGCTTCGTATATAAGATTATGTTATAAAATAACTGCGAACCAACAACAAATCCAAAGCTTTCGAGCAAATTTATTACAGATTTTGTTATGTTTTTTATTAATAAATCTCAATAAACTTACCCATTTTGAAAACCTTGCGTTAAACTCATCGAGTGTCTTCTTTGAAATAAATTGTCTTATTTTTTTTTAAATTTCAATAATTTTCACATCTCTTCATACAGAAGGAATTGTTACAACAGATATTTGCTGAGATGGTGTAATTTTATTCTAGTTTTCAGATAATACTCACAATAATTTATGACTCTGCTAAAACTTGTTGTTGATGAAAAACCTTATCTTTGTGAGTCAAACTCGAAACAATCAGTTCCCATTTTTGGTTCATATTCTGACAGTATTACATTGGCTCCATCATATTTGATCTATCTGTTTTACATACAATAAGGGCCTTTCTACCTAAAAAACAAGCGTGAGTTGCTATTTATTTCACATTTTGGGAAGAACTCTTAGCTATTGAGGGAAAAATTCATTGTAAATAAGGATTAGCCAATCAGAATTGAGATTCAACAGTCTGAAAAATAGTTGTGAAAAATTTATAAACACAAAAAATTTCAGGGCATTGAGGGCAATCGTGCATTACGAGACCAAACCCTATTTTGGATACGCTCACCGGTGTACGATCCTGAAACCCTCGAAAAAAAAGCCTTTGAACATGTTCCGAATCAAATTGACAAAGGAATCCACTCGCCAAACTGTTGCTGAGTTCACATTTAGCAAATATGGCAGGTTGTTGGGGGGATTCCGCATTTGTAAGCGGAGTCCGCAAATTTTTATAGCATTACGTTAATGCAAGTGAAACTGCAAATTTATAATCGGAATTTACAAATGTAAGCGGATTCGGCACATAACTCGCTAATTCCGCTTACAATGCGGATTACGCTTCAAAAATGCGTTTTTGGATTCCACAAATTGTACTCCTGCAAAGTTTGCTGCTTTTGGAGCGATTTGGAGGGATCCAATGTTTTAGACATTTCTCCCCAGAAATCCACACCAGCGAAATTATCAAAGAACAATCGGTTTGTTCAAGATTCCACGACAAAGTCGTTTTTTTCAGCCTATAATGAAATGCGCATAAAACTCAAACAGTACAAAGTTTGGCCTTGTAACGTTATGGTCAACTAAAATGCAGCAAAATAAGGAGGTGATAAAATAAAATTGGTCTAGTGCGTGCTGCAATCTTGACAGTCCAACTACCCGAAATGCTTATGATTAATTGAAGCACCGAAGCGCACAAAACTCGTTCAACAACTCTTTCCTTGCTTTCTGTTAACTTTGTTTTCGGTTTTTTGCATAAACCATCCAGTGATTGAGAGCATGTTACAGTTTCATAC